AAATCTTTGAAATAAATAGTGTTCTCTAGTTTTCAGCATTTTTTTTTTTTTTTGTGGTGCTGGGGATTGAACCCAGGGCTTTGTTCAACTAAGCTATGTCTCTAGCCCAGTTTTCAGCATTTTTAAGTTCAAAGCAAAGGGAGTATGAGAGGGTAAACTTAAATCTTGTATCTCAAACACAAATTTTGAAAGATCTTTTACTTTTTTTGAAAACTCCTTTGTTATAAAATGTTCAAGGGAGAGGGTTTCATGCTTAGGTAGTACCTTGCATAGTCAGACTACAGTAAACACGGATTGAATTTATAGATCTCATTTATACAAATGTGGAAGGCATGGTTATAGTCAGTATTAGAAGGTCTATAAAGATGGAGTTAATGGTGTTCTGGAATTACTGTATTTCATGTATTCTAAGATACCATCATTCTAAAATGCATCATTATTTCATATATCACCACCCCAGCTGTTATATCACCACCCCAGCTGTTAAGCTGCCATAATGCTTTATTACATCATGTTTGTAAGATACATTTCAATTTCAGAGATGCAAAAATATGAAAAGTATATGTTAGAATAAACAAAATATGCATACTGTAACATTTCCAGGAGTATAATAATCTTAAACAGACGATATAAATGGTTTGGCATTTTGACAGTTAATACTTGTTAGGGCTAAAGATGTAGCTCAGTGGTACAGTATTTCTCTAGCATGTACTGAAGCCCTGGGTTCATTCTCTAGCACTGCAACAAAACAAAACAATACTTGTCAACTTTGGCAAAAAAAAAAAGTAGCCTGGATTAGGCTTTTATCCAGGGGCAATATATATGAATATAGCTTTTGATCCAGATCTGGTTTCAAAATTTGAACTTTTACAGAATGTCAGTTATCAAGAATACAAGTAACAATAAATGTTGGCAAGGATGTAGGGGGAAAGGCTCACTTATACATCGCTGGTGGGACTGAAAATTGATGCAACCAATTTGGAAAGCAGTATGGAGATTCCTTAGAACACTTGGAATGGAACTGCCATTTGACCTAGCTATCCCACTCTTCAGGTCCTACCCAAAAGGCTTAAAATTAGCATATTACAGTGATGCAGCCACTCAATGTTTATAGCAGCTCACTTAACAACAGCTAAACTATGGAACCAACCTAGTTCCCTACAACAGATGAATGGATAAAGGAAATGTGGTATATATACACAATGAAATATTATTCAGCCATAAAAAGAATGAAATTATGGCATTTGTCAGTAAATGGATGAAACTGGAGACTGTCATACCAAGTGAAGTAAGCCAATCCCCCAAACCAAAGGCTGAATGTTCCCTGTGATATGTGGATGTTAACCCACAACAAGGAAGGGTAAGGAGGGAAAAAATAAAATTTCATTGGATCAGACAAAGGGGAATGAAGTTGGCAGAAGGAGTATAGGAATTGGAAAGACAGTAGAATGAATGTGACATAACTTTCCCATTCTTATGTATGAATCTGCAACCAGTATAATTCCACATCATATACAACTACAAGAATGGGATACTATTTAGAATAAGTTATATTCCATGTATGTATAATATGTCATAATACACTCTATATCTAGAAAGAACAAAAAAATTTTGGACTTAAAGATTTCTGTATGTTATCCTTTTTGGACTTATCTCTATACTGGATTCTTATAAAGTCAAGTATAAGTTTTTACATTTGTAACTTAGGTAGTCTTAAATATTCCTTTCTGTAAAACCAGATCTAAAAGAAGGAAAAGATGGTTGGTATCAGAGAATTTTTATAGATCAGTCTTTTAAGAAAACCTAAGATGGTTTAGGGCAGGGGTATTATAAATGAAGATCAATTCAAACTGTTTAATTTAGACCTGAATCACTGTAGAAACTTGTTGTCTATTGCAAAGTTTGCTGGTAGCTTCCTATGATTTGAGTTAGCACTTTTAAGTACTTGAAATATATTTTTACCATCTCCACACTACTCTGAGATTGTTCTTTTAATTCATCTTGTAGCCAGGGAAACCATATGTTAATGGCCCCTGAAGCTGGGATTTGTACTAGGCTACTCATTGAACTGAGGAAGAGTGGGAATCCCTGAGCCCCTGACTTTCCTGGATTCCACCTTCCCTTTTATTGAGATGAAAAGAGATAGGAAATGCTTTCTAGCCCAGAAATACAAAAACTTGAAGACTCCAAATCTGAAATTGAGTCAACAAGTGAGGAGGAGTACTCACAGGGATGGGGAGAGCAATGGCAGTGCTCAAAAGGCCAGCCAAGATGAGAAATTTCATTCTGAAGGTAGAGCCTGGAATTGAAGATTAGGAGATCATTTCCAGTTTCCGTTCCTATTTCCATTGTAAATAGAGGGTTGAGGTAGAGGTGTTGAAATAGGGTCAAGCTAAATCCTGCCTCCAGATACAGATTCAGGTTGTGTAAACCCAGAGGAGCATTTAAAAAACTTGGAATGCCTTTCAACAAGACATGCAGTCTTTGACTCCTAATACTGCCTGCCATCTCCTACTCTTCCTTATAACCTACAGCTCAGCCTATATCTGTTTGGTTGTTCAAATTTGTGGTTTCTATACACAAATATTTAATGAGCATAATGTTTACTATTGGCAATTTATCATCACTGGCTAAAACGAGAGGACAATATTTATGTAATACACAAATAAATATGCTTGGAGCTTATGCCTCCAGGAGACTTACCAGGCCTTTACATAGTCTGGATGCTGTTGTTGATGCATACAGTTTCTCAGGAAGAGATTATACAGGAAAAAATTCATAAAGTATAGTGGGTTGGTAGAAAATAAGTACAAGATGAATAAATTTAATAAAGCAACTCAACATAATCTTTACTGACCTGCTGTTCCTGCAAGTAAACATTTAAATGTTTTAAAAATACACTTAATTCAAATTACCTTACTGTGTGAGTTTCAAACCAAATCACTGTACCCTGGAATTTGATTTTGGAAGAAAAAAAATCAATCATATTCTGATTAATACTTCTCTCCTGTATGTGAGACAAGTTTTAACTATTTAATAGATAAATAATTATTTAGCTTTTTATATATCTTTAAAGCTTAATTCTAAGTTATTTTAGTGCTACTTTACCTGAATTTAGGCAACTTATTTCCTTTCCTTTTTTTTTTCATGTCTTTGTATTTTTCTTTCTCATGGATTAAAACTTTTGAAGTTCTTTCTTGCTTTGTTAAGTGGATCTTATTAAATTAGCCAACACAAGAATATCTTACATTCTTTTATCTAGTGCAATAGAATCATCCAAATTATATCTCTTTAATTACCTTTGCTTCAAATGGCCCTCGGAGCAACAAATTCAGGAGGCAGTGTGATCTCCTAGAGCCTCTCTACCCATCAAGTGTTTAAGCCATATTACTAATGCCTTTATAGTCATGGGCAATATGAGTCACACAATTCAAAGCTAAACTGAGCAGTTGGTTTCAGATCGGGAATTCCAACTTTAGTATCTCAATTACACAGAGACTTAAAGACTGATTACTAAGAAAATAACTTCATCTCTTTGGTTGGGGTTAGATTAAATCTTTATCAAAACAAACCAATAATTAAAAATGATATCCACTAAGAATATTCAAGTGTTTCTATAATGTGTCATTTAGGTATATATACCGAAGCCTTAATTGCTGGAGAAATTTAAGGTTTGAAATGTTCTATGTTAAATGACATTTGCATTTCAAAATGAAAATTAGTTTCAAATAAAAAAGTTTAGTAAATATTTAGGCAGTGTCCTTAGCATTAAGACTAATTCAATTTAATTATTTGGAAAGGACCTGGTTTAATGTGACTCTGGTTGAAAGCAAGTGACTTATTGAGTGAAGAAAAAAGATAAAAATAAAGTTAACTTAGTGATATCTTTCAAGTCAGATAGAAAAATGTTTTTTAAAAACCATCTTTTAAATATTGTAAGTGGAATGAAGTGGATGACAGGATCTTTTATTGTTGTGTTTCAGACCTTGGAAAACTGTATGGTCTCATTTATATTTTTGTGATTCAGCTTTAACTCTAATTGTTACCAAAGAAGAGCACAAATAAAATCACATTTTGTATAATTTTTATTTTTCTATCAATTTATGGTAGTAATGTTCACCTCTCACCACACTGACCATCAGGACACTTCATGGCTCTCCACTGGCTTGTTTCATCTTTCATTATCTTTATTTTGAAAAAAATGGAATGTAGAAATTTTGCAGATCCTCCTCCCCCATGCACACAAACAACTGTACAAAAGCTACAATTAGTTGGATCAAGATGTGCATAATAATCCAAATTGAATTTGGCTAAATAACACTTTTCCTGTTGAACTTATATGACAAAGGGTTTTCGTGAGCAAGTACTATTTTTACACACTGATTATTTGTTTTCCATAGGAAACGTCTCACACTTTTCAAGTCACACTAGCTTCTTTTTTTTTTCTTCCTCCAATAGTAAGAACTAGGAAGCGTCTTTATAATTTGATTTGAATTGTGAGTCCTGGGTTGATAATTCACTGAGGGATTACTTAAATAAATTTGTTTATTTAAATAAATGACTAGAAATAAACTTGAATAGGCATTTGAATTTTTATGGACACTTTATTAGGATATTAAGATATTAACAATACATGTTAAGCACAAATATTCCATTTTCTTGAAATGCACATGATGTTATGGACAGTATGAACACATTATTTTTTTAAGTTGTATAATTAGCAATTATAAGTTGATTCAGAGAGTGAAATCACTATGAGTTAAGCTCCTACTTATATAAATGGTTTACAGTCTTTTGTATATAGTGACATTACTTCATTTTAAAGTTCTATTTCCTAAGTCGATGTTGAATGCTTGGTGTGTATATATTATTATCAAGCAGTTATTCTCATTGTCTTCTCATTCATGCAGATATTTTACTAAATATATATCTACCGGTATCATGGCTATATATATTTCAGAAGTGGTTAGGACAGAGGAGAATGCTAGAAAGTTTGACTTCTTCAAATCTTAATTCAAAACAGGAGGTTTTCATCTATGTCTTCTGTAAAAACAAAAACAAAACAAATATACTTTTAGAAAGGTACCAGAGTAGTAGCATAAACTAGTATGTTAGAGCTGGGAGATTAGACAGACCATCTAATAAGGCATCACGGTGGTGGTTCTGAACCCTGGTAGGGCATCAACATCATCCATGAAATTTAAACAATATAAATTCTTTGATCTCATTCCTGGCCTCTGGAATCAGAATTCTCTAGGGGTGGACTGATGGCAGGTGGACCGATGGCAGGTGGACTTATAGACAACTCTGCAGATAGTTCTCAATCACTGATAGAGGAAGGGTAGGTTAAGGGGAGGCCCAGCCAAGAAGTGTCAAATATAATAATCTATAAGGGCAGCTAAATTTTAATAGGAAGAGGCAGAAGTATAGTACCAGTTCAATCAAACTTCAATTGAATAATCTGAAGAACTTATTACCATACCACTAGGAGAAGACATAAGATATCATGGATATATAAGATATAAGATATAAAAGATACACCAGCCTGCACTTGGGTGTGTTTTGTCAATAATTGTTAAACAGATATTTACAGCAGATTAATTTGAACCACACTAAACTATGACCCTATCTGGGGCACCAGGTAATTTTCCTTTCCAATGTAAGTTTTTAGCCCAGAGAGTTGAAAGAATATAAACTTTAACATATTTTCTTTTGAGTACTGACTTTATTATTAAAATGGAGATACTAACTTTATTACCTGTAAATTTATATTTGCACATGCACACATAGTACTCTGTACTTTTTTGGTTGTTCAGATGAGAGATATCTTTTCTTTCTTCCCTTTTCTTCCCCTCCTTCTCTTTCTTTCTGTGTACTAGGTATTGAATCCAGAGCCCCTACATGCTAAGCAAGTTTCTACCACTGAGCTATATACTCCCAGTCCTTTTTGTTTTGATATAGGGTCTCTCACTAAGTTGTTCAGGCTGCACTTGAATCTGCCTCAGCTTACCAAGTAGCTGCAATTATAGATATGTACCATTGCACCCTATGAGAGATGTCCTTTCTATTGATCTTAAAGCCAGTCCCTCTACCTGTGCTCAAGATCTCTTCTGATCTGAGGCTTCTCCTAATTTCCTGTTTTCCCTCCTTATATTCAAAACCTTTCCCCCACCTTTCTATTTATTAGCTCCTTCCCCTTGGCATTTAAATATCGTTTATAGGGGCTGGGGATGTGGTTCAAGCGGTAGTGCGCTCGCCTGGCATGCGTGCGGCCCGGGTTCGATCCTCAGCACCACATACAAAGATGTTGTGTCCGCTGAGAACTAAAAAAAAAATAAATACTAAAAAAATTCTCTCTCTCTCTCTCTGTCTTAAAAAAATATCGTTTATATATTCAGCCTCTTGAGTATTGCCTGGCTCTATAGAGACCACCAGTAAAGTGATTAAATAAGAAAGAACGAATGGACTGCTCAAGCCTCTTTTATTCTAAAAAATGCTTCCCTCAACTCTATGTCCTCTTCTAGCTCTTTCCTGCCTCCAAACATTCACTCTTTATTCTATCTCATTTTTCATTCTTTCTCAACATATAGAATCTGGTTTCCAACTCTACCATTTACCAAAACTGCTCTTACCACGTGTTATGGTTTTGATATGGAATATCTCTCAAAGACTCATGAGTTGAGAGCATGGTCCCCAGGGCAGAAATACTCAGAGGTGGGCCTTTTGGGTAATGATTGGATCATGAGAGCTCCTAAATTCATCAGTAGATTAATCTATCCATAGATTTATTGGGAGGTGATGGGGCCTAGGGGTAAGATGTAGGTCAGTGGGGGAGTACCCTGAGGGTATATCTTGTCCCCAGGCCCCTCTATGCCTTCTTCTCCTCTGCTTCTTGACCACCATGAGGTGAGCAGCTCTGATCTGCCAGGTGCTCCTACCACACACCTACAATAGTGGGACCAAATTGACTATGGACTGAAACTTGTGAAACCATGAGCTAACTTATAGAGCTCACTTCTGTAAGTTGTTTTTCCAGGTATTTTGTCACAGTGGTGAAAAAGAACACACTCAGATCACCAGTATATCCTATTTCTAGGTTCCATGAACATTCTTAATCTTTATCCTCCTTGACATTTCAGCAGCACTTGGCACAGTCTCTTCCTCCTCTTCAAGACTCTTTTTTTTTTTTTTTAGAGAGAGAGAGAATTTTTAATATTTATTTTTTAGTTTTCTGTGGACACAACATCTTTGTTTGTATGTGGTGCTGAGGATTGAACCCGGGCCACACGCATGCCAGGTGAGCGCGCTACCGCTTGAGCCACATCCTCAGCCCTGGACACCCTCTTAACATGGCACTCCTCTCACGGTCTTCCTTCATTTCAGAAGAGACTTTTCATTCTCCCTGGTGAATTCCTTCCTCCTCCAATATCCATCATCTAGTGGTGGTGGTCTTTAGCATTCAACTCTGGATCCATTTTCATGTAACTTTATGCATTTTCCTTGGGAGAATTAATTCCCTTCCCTGATATCAATTATTCTCTGCGTGCTCATAATCCCCAAATATATATTTCTGATCTAAAAATCTGTCTTGAAATGCAGACAAATATTTAACTGACAGTGGCACATGGAGTAATTCAAAATTCATTGTCATTTGAAATGAAATTTGTCATTGCCCCCAAATCTGCTTCTGCCCCTGTGTTTTCTCTCTCAGTAGACAGTGGCTCTAGTCATCCTGCCTGACCCAACCAAGCCGGCTCCTATGGCATTATCTCTCTCTTGTTCTTAGTCTCTCAACTGTCTGTTCCCTGCTCCTACATATTTCCTGTCCAATCCTGTCTTCTTATTCTACATGTTGTATATCTTGAGTATGTTTATATTTAAAAATATTTCTTGAATATGGTACTTCTCTGTTTCCCCATGGTCACTCCTCTAGTTCAAGTTGCCACAAGTCTTACCTGGATTTATCACAACATGCTCTCAACTATTCTCTAGCCTTTCCACAATATAACAGAGAAATCTTTCTTAAATACAAACTCTGAAAATCACTCCTTGCTTAGTGATACCCCCGGTGCTCTTAAAATAATGTTTTTAAATGACTTAGTAGGATCTTCATGATCTGACTTGTTTACCCTATTAGTTTCATTTGGAGAGTTTTTCTAAACATTAACATGCATAGTTGCATAGATGAAGACTCCTCCACCAGTTATTTGAACCCCATGTTTACAGGTTAAAAAAAATGAGACTGGGGACAAATGGCATGCCCTATTGAACAAAGCTAGTTAATGACAGAACTGAAATATTTGAACACATTTAGCTAGTTCAGATCACAGGCAGTTAAAATTCAGGAATACACTAGCTAAAATCTATCTTCTCCCATGGCTTTCCAAGACCTGAGGGAAGGAAGGGTATACCTACAAAGAGATTTTTTTCCCCCTTTTCCTAGCTGTATCCCAAAGCAATAACTTGTTTACTCATTCTGACTGAATATTTAATATTTGTTTTATTAGTTTAATATGTGATAATTCTTTCTCTTTTTCAAAATAACATAATGACAGCCAAACCACACTACACAAACAAGATCATTAGTGGCTTTGCAAGTCACTGGACTTTAAGCACTTCCTGCTCTCCCAGGCAACCCCACAACACTGAGCCTGGGTGAGCTCACATTCTGAAGAGCCGCCAGAAGCTTGGCAAAAGAACAGTGAAATACAACTGGTTTCCTTAAATAAACAGCATCTGTCCAAATTTGCCTTTTTATCAGAGCTTTAAAATCACACGTCCTATAAAAGGGCACACCTAAATATATCTTATCCCAGTTAAGTTCTCCCCTCTTGATACTGGTGGGGAGATGCAGCTGTACTTGGGTATGTTTTGTTTTTTTAGTAGAGGAGTTATAAAAGACTGTTTAATCCATTTTTAGAAGTAGATTTGAATTTTTGTAAGTACTCATAGAATAAATGTTAGGAAGGAAACTGACATTATCTGTGTGGGTATGAGTCTTATTAACATTAATTTCACATAAGTACTAACAGGGTCCAGCCTTCAGGATAACTGCCATTAATTCCCTACCTCATGTCATTTTCTCCCATGTGATAGCAGGGTTGCCCAGTGTGAACAACAGAACATGTCACAAGTAATGGTATGGGCTTTAGTCTTGGGCTCATATTCTTTTTGGTCACTCACTTTGGGGGCAATCATATCCCATGCTGTCAGTAATACCGTGGAGAGGCCCACATGGTGAGGCAGTCAAATCTGCAGATTGCCAAATGAGTGAGCTTAGAAGTAGAGCTGTCAGTTCTATTCAAGTCATCAGATGACACACTACTGACAGCTTGATTTCATCCCTAGAGAAACTAAGTCAGAACATCCAGGTAAGCTACTCCCAGATTCCTGACCCTTGAAAAATGTGAGAGATTTTACATGGCTAAGTTTGGGGTAATTTGTTATGTAGCATGGATAGCTAATACACAGAACTAAGTGCTTGCATGAATAGACATTTTTCATTATGATTGTGTTACTTTCACAGAATAATATTAAAGGAGAAAAGAACTAATCTTTCTGCCAATCTATTAATCAATAAACAAATCCTCATGCTCCGAGTTCTTTTCAATGTCAAGCATTTATACATCAGCATGAAGAATATTTTTTAAGCAATGGTTTACCTCTTTTTGGGAAATTCTGACTTTTGATGAACTTGCTTTTCTTTACTGCTTGATTGCATATTCATCCTACATCTGTGTAATAATCATATGCCTAAAGTCTCTGCTTTAGAGTTTTTGTGTTTAATGTTGATTTACATTTTGTGAGCAGTTTCAATGCTATTTTTTGGATATGCTTCATAACTTGATTATTGAAAACATGCTTACTCATAAAAGTCAACTCTAACTTTGGAAAATAAAAGGAAGTAGATTAAGACATAACCCAGTATAACAAATGTCTTAATTTAAATTCTTCCACTGCAAGAGTAAAGAAAGAACCACCTGATTCCCCCTGCTTCCTGGCCCACCGATCACTGAAGATGCAGGCATGAGCTAGTTTTGGATTAAAGCAATACTATCTGGTTACAATTTGTGATATAAGATCCAATCTTTAATTAATAGTGAATTCTAACATGTCTTCTGACATACCCCCTTGTCAGAAGCAGCCTTGCTGTGCAGCTATAAGTTTTAAAGGTTTGCCCTATAGTTAGGTTAAGCAATGAGATTAAAATAAGGTATAAAGCCCTCTGAGATTGGCATGGCTCTCTGGATTCACATAGTTTCTTAGGCTTATCCAGTTGCTGAGAATGCAGCGCATATTCACCCTCGTTCTGAAAAGTAGTGAGAAATGACCTTGCAATGACAGCTTGTGCATGAGGCAGTCCTGTCTGGGATATGTCACCTCATGGGCCTTTAGGTTTCTATTAGAACCTACAGCAGGACTTCTCTGTTAGGCCTTCAGGGTTTATTTAGGGAAGGGGTCAACATCCTCCTTTGGCTGATGATGAATTTACCTTCTTTAATTCCAAAGCAGTGGCCCCACTCCTTCAAGGTGATGTGCTTATCCTTGTTGGGGTCACACTCCTCAAAGAAGCGGGTTATGCAGTGCTCCATGGGCACCAGAGATGCTCGTAGAGGAGCAAGCTCGGAATGTGTCAAGACTCTGCAGGGAAATAAATGGCAGCCTATTAATTGAGTAACTTGTATATAAAGATTTAAATCTTAGGATCACAGGGGATAGTTTTCTTCCACAAGTTAGCTGCATGTGCCAAATAAATAGTACACAAATAAAATGCTGAAAGTGAGGGCTGGGATTTTGGCTTAGAGGGAGAGCCCTTGCCTAGCATATGTAAGGCACTGAGTTCGATTCTCAGCACCACATAAAAAATAAAGGTCCATTGACAACTAAAAATATTTAAAAAAAACAACCCTGAAAGTGAAATAAACAATATGTGGGTGAGGTGGAGAGTTTTGGGAATGTCAATAACCAAGGTTTCTCTCCACTGGAAACTGTCCTCCATCCACCCTAAATCTAGAGTTTACCTAGAGTCACACTTATACAACCTGGTTCCAACCCACTGGTCATACTTTATTATTCCAGATGTAGGGATTTGATCTAGTTGGTCAGATTATCTATAGAATTTAGAATCAAGAATGAAAAAGTTGGAGGAGTTTCTGTGGGAAGGTGGATCTTAGCATGTAAACTTGAGAGCTGTATGTAGCCATATTCTGTTATTTTCAAAACAATTTTGTGTTTAGACTCCTAACCACCATTATTTGGCATTTCATCATTCTAACATGAAGTGGAGATTTTCATAATTCTATTTCACTTTCCCTTTTGCATAGATACTTGTATATCAGAGAGTGACCTGGTAATGGAAAGGTAGAATTTTTACCTGTCTGTAGGATGTTGGTCAAGTTCATTAAACTGCCAATGCACAGGATAAACATACATGTGGTAGTTTTTCTTAAAGTCCCTTAAGAGAAGGTCAATGGGATGGTCCCCAGCCAAAAGTCTCTTTTCATCCAGGTAAATTTTCTGGACCTGGAATTAAAAAGTTGAGAAGATTGTCAGAGCATCAGTCAACAGTAATGGAATTGACACTTGTTCAGCTTTGCTTGAAGAGTAACAATAATAATGTGACAGAGGAAAATACACTCAGGCATCATGTGCATCAAATTAAATGCCTTCTAGTCAATACTCTAGCCTTCCTTACATCTAGATAGAAAACAGCCAATGTAAGAAATTTGGGGTTTTCAAAAGAAAGTCTTTTTTGATCTTTTAACTAGTAATGTTCTTTACATTCCTTAAAACTATGAGAAGGTTTTAATGAAAAGAACTGAACTGACTTGAGCAAAATTTTTGATTACTTAGTGAAAAATCCTGTTCTTTCTGCAATTGGTATATTCAATTCTTCATTCCCTATTCCTGCTCAGTCTGCTTATCTCTGATCTGTTGCTCCTGGCTACCTCCATTGAAATTCCCATTTTCATACCTTATACTTGAAAGTCTATCTGTGACAATGTACTAAAGGGAAGGACAGAAATTATCCATGAGCAATGCACATAAGACTCAACTGGTGATGTTACCTATTATTTCACTAAGCAATTGGAAGCAAACAGAACTTCCACTTCTTCCCATGCCCACATCTACTGGCTTCCCTCGATGTTACCAGTGATGAACTTCCTGTGTTCCTATTCAGAGCCTCACCCTTCTCATCTGCCTGAAACAACTACTCAAGAACACCCTCTAGAAGTTGGGTACATTTCTCTGGTCTTCATTAAATTTTACTTCATTGCTAGGTTATTTGTAGAAACTTACAAGTATCCTCTATCATCTCTAACTGGTAGAAAGGACTTCTTGAATTCACTTTCCCCTCCTGTTACCACTTAACTTCTCTTTAACCCTCAAGAGTATTGTGTATACTTGTTGCTTTTACATCCTTCCTCTTATTCTCTCTTGAACTCTGTCAATTCAGTCTTCCCTTGCCTGGATCCACCTTACAGCTAGTGTCAAGGTCAACAATGACTACCACATGCTAAATCAGAGACACAGTTAATGCACACCCTCCTTCTTTGATCTTTCTTCATAACAAGTTTTAAAGAACCTGACATATCTTATACATATGTTTGCTGATTTGATCATATTTGCATAGGTTTATATTTACATATATATGTTCATAAACTAACTCTCTCTCTCTCTCTCTCTCTCTCGCTATCTTGCAGGTGGGAGATTTGTTCTGTTCATTGCTGTATCTCCAGTAGTTACATCAATTCCTGAAATGTAGGTTATTCTCAATAACTATATGGTGAATGAATTTTTTCCTGGAAATATCTGGAATTAATATTCTTCACTTTTTAATCTTAATATATTGTTATGTTTTAGATCTTTGGCATCCCCCAAAAACTCATGTGTGAAACAATGCAAGAAGGTTTAGAGGTGAAATGATTGGGTAATGAGAGCCTTAACTTAATTAGTGCATTAATTCCCTGATAGGGATTAACTGGGTGGTAACTATATGCAGATAAGGAGTGGCTGGAGGAAGTGGGTCATTGGTGGTATGCCTTTGGGGTTTTTATATTGTTCCTGGAGAGTGCAGCTCTCTCTCTCTTTCTTGGCTTCCTGTGTCCATGTCCTGAGCTACTTTCCTCTGTCATACCTTTATTCCATGACGTGCTGCTTCACCTTGGGCCCAGAGTAATGGAATTGGATATTTATGGACTGTGACCTCTGAAACTGTGAGCCCCAAATAAACTTTCTTTCTCTAAAATTGTTCTTATCAGGTCTTTTGGCCATAGCAGTGAAAAAGCTAACTTAAACATATATCATTGACATTGTGAATAATAGATTTTCCTTATATATCTATATCAGATCTATGAGGGCAAACAAAAGTTCAGATTTAAATACATTTGGGTCTATTCTAATTTGGATCTGCAATATCACCCAAAGCCCATATGTTAAAAATTGGTTAGCCCATGGCACTATTGGGAGGTGGTGGAAGTTTAAAAGGTTGGCAATCTTCTTGTCATATGGGAGAATATTGGGATCCTGGCCCTTCCTCTTTCTTTGTTTCCTAGCCCAACATGAGATAGGCAGCTTGCTCTACCACATGTTCTTTGCCATGATGTGCAGTCTCACACAGAACTAAAAAACAATGGGACCAATTAATCATGGACTGGAATCTCTGAAATGGCAAGGCAAAATAAATCTTTGCTTTTAAAGTTGCATTATCTCAGGTATTTGTTATAGTACAGAAAGCTGACTAACACATACAAATACTAAATATATGTTAACTTTGCCCCACCATTGCTGGCTCTAGGTATGAATTAAAGAGCCCTTATTCAAAGGACATTGCTCTTTCAGTAGGAATAGGGCAATTTGACAGTGTCTCAAATCCTGTGGCATGAATGGTGACGACTACAAGAATGTTAATCCCTGTGGGGTAATCAGATGCAGGGAGGCAGAATGGGCTTCTGCAGCTGTGCAGAGGTAGGTAGCCGAAACATCTTTTTTTCCTCAGGCCCTCTAGACAGACCCTTAGGTAGAAGACCTGTGAATAACTTACTTTACTTCTCTGTTTCTCATTTAGATATCCAGCATGTTTAGGGTTAGGTTCATAAAGCTGCATGAGGATATTCTTGAGCCAGTCTCTCATCCGTAGAGGAAACTGAGCCACTTCAAAGTCTGTACAAGCAGGAATAGCTGTTTTAAGCAGAAAATACATGACCATTAGTTCTGGCTCTGGAGTCTTCATAACAGGAAGCTTAATAACTTCTGGGGACCCAGAGAGCATCCACACTGCCCCTTCATACTTCAGAGGTCCTTAATCATGGTGGCACCACAGATTTGCCTGGTGTGTTTTAAAAAACATATCAAATACCAGACTCCATTTGAAGAAATTCTAATTTGATTGGTCTGGGGTAGAAACTGGACATCAGGAGTTTTAAAAGCTACAAAAGTAATCTTGATGGGCAGCTAGAGCTAAGAATCTGTGCTGTAGAACCAGAGAGCTGGAATTTAGAAAAGGAGGAGACAGGAGCTATTTACTAGAGGTTGAGAGGAAAAAGGAGGGCTTAGCTTACACTATCATTACAAAGAATGCTAATTCTCAATGGCTTAAAGAGACAAAGGCTTATTTCTCCATTCTGCTACAATTCCAATACAAGTTGGCAGCAGGGTTCTGCTGCTGTCTCCCTGGGGCTTATCTTTTGCTGCTACCATCTCAACACAAGACCTCCGGGTTTGTGGTGGCAAAGGGAGCAAAAGTGGAGAACCACACCAGCTCTGAAGTGCTTCTGCCCAAAACGTACATGGGTGATTGTGCTTTATTCCAGTGAACAAAGCAAGTCATATGACTACATCTAACATCAAGGAGTCTGGCAAGTTTAATCCTCTTGGGTGTCTGCAAGGAGGCAAGAACCAGAACATGGGTGAGCACTGCCAATGTGGAGAATCATTTATCAGCAAGGGGAGCCAAACACAAATGAGAGTATCCTGGGGAAGGAAGACAACTTAAAAAAACAAACAAACAAACAAACAAAAACTTCTGGAAGAATATGTTGTCATAAAACCTTTTGGTAAAGGCTTAACTTAAATTGGGAAGAGGGCAAATAGTTTGGCAAAATTCCATTTCTCATCGCTATTATTAAGTAGATAACATTATTATAGTGGTTCTGAGGCCTGGCTGCATGTTAGAATTGTCTAGGTTACTTGAAAAACAAATGAAAAAGCAAAGCCAGGGTTCCAACCCAGTTCAATTAAGTCAGAATCGCCTGTGGTTAAGGCCTGTGAATCCTTATTTTTTCTGTCTCTCCAATTGATTTAAATTTTCAGCTTAAGTTCATAACTACATTAGCCTTTTCTTATTTACATATATAGGATTTAAGCATGTACAGATTCACCCAAAACCCTCCCAGAAATGGTGGTTGGCAGAAGTGATGGAATCTTACATTTGCAGGCTCCAAAATAATCCAGCTGCAGTTGATGTCCCTTTTTGGTTCCCTCCAGTCTGCACTTTGTAGCAAACAGATGACAGGAACTTGCATAGGTCTGGTTGTCAGTGCCACAAGCCTATGGAAGACAAGCAAGAGAAAAAGTTGATAGATCCTGATGCTTTTTGGATAGTACTCTGCTCCCGAAAGCTCAAAGAGTGTCTGGTAAATGGTGCTGTGCCAAAGATATGGTCAGGAAGGTAAGATTATTAAAATTGTAACTCTCCAGTTTGGCAACAAATTATATTCATAGCCCAAATACCACTGTTATCTTTTTATGGAACCATTGAAATACTTTGATTTGGCTGGCATTTATTTCTGTTCAATATTACTTCAAATATTAGATTATAAACTGAGCATCTACCTTCAAAAAAATTTCAGTGCAAACTATTTTCATTCAAATCCCTGGCCCCCTCTTTTTAAAATTTTTTTTTTTTTTTTTTTTAGTTGTAGATGGACACAATATCTTTATTTCATTTGTTTTTATGTGGTGCGAGGGATCAAACCCACTGCCTCACGCATGCTAGGCAAGTGCTCTACCACTGAGTCACAACCCTGGGCCCTCCTTGGCCTTTCTGATGTGTCTGAAGGACTACTTTGTTGAGTACTTACTTGGTCAAGGGGTTTTGCTGGAGGACAAGTCACTGGATCTTGGCAAACGCAGTGGGGTTTTCCCTGTTGGTCTGCTTTACAGATGTGTCCTCTCTTACACTGGAAGTTCACACAAGGATCTAACAGAAAAGTTTGGAGAGGAAACATGGACTCAGCAAAATCGAGTATGTAAATGAAAATGTATGATTCACTTCATTTTTGTTAATAAGGCAGAAATTTTGAAACCCTGAAATTTGAAGATTTCAAAGTGAGAAAACATTACAAACTGCTTTAACTGATGCGCTGATTTCCAGATGGAACCGTCTGGCATCAGAATTTTATATGATTGTTTAGCTTTCTTGAAGCCGTTTGGTTTGGTGATGTAAAAAGAACAAGCAGTTCTTCTTGGCCTCCCTGAGATGAACATAATCTGAAATATGTAGTGCAGTGTTGTGTGAAATGGTTAGAAGTTAAATAAGCCATAAGAATTTTATTGTGTTGAAATTACAAATGTTTGTGATTAGGGTAGGAATTAGTCCCTTAGTTAAGTATGGAATCTAAATTTAATAGTAAGTTGTGGATTGCAGAATTAATTCTTTCTCAGAAGCAAAAAGAATTCTAGCTGTGTACTATATCTCAACAGGACTTTCAGTTTGTAAACACATTGATCTGTAGTTTATCAAATATCACAAGATAATATCAACAATTTATAGGAACATTTCCTTGGAGAGAAAGGAGAAGGAAATTTCTGGTCATGAAGGGAGGGACAAACCCAAGATGGCAGATCCCATCTCTTCCTTGGGATAGTCACAAACAGCTCGCTCAGCACGTACCCACACTGTGCACCCCCACATTGCCTTCAGTTGAAGTGTCATCTTCGTTTGATGAGCTGCCTGCTTTCTTGGCCTTTAAAATAGCAAGAGCAGAAAAGTTAAACTTACTTAACTTGTATTCCAACTGTGTTTGCCTTCACAGAGTTTTTTGCGGCCAAATAATGTCAGATCTCAAAAGGGGAAACCATTCACAACTACACAGGTAGAGAATAATCTTTGGAGACCAAAACCCTTCTCTAGCTTCAACTGAATTCAGTGCTGTATTTGGGGGGAGTATGCAATATGAGTTAGGATCTTCTCTTTGGATTTGGGAAAACACTAGCAATGTATTATTATCTTGTGATTCTGTAGTTAAGACAGGGTTACATCAGTGATCTCTATGAAGTTGGTAAGGCTTTCCTCACAGGATTCTAAAATGTAAGAAAACACCTATCTTAGAATGGTGGCAGAGTTCTCAGTAATTGAGATTAGTTTTGACTTTGCTCACCAAAAGCTGTGCCTGATGGGTGGCTGCAAAGTTTTGCACAAAAGCTCTAAATGATTAAACAGCCAAATAGCAATATACTCCCTCCATGCAGTATTTCTGGATTCTCATTTTGGTATATGTTTGCTTAATAAAGTAGTACCTTAATATTTACATCTGACTCAACGGACATTGCTGGCTCTCATGTCAGAGGTAGTTTGTTTGCCACTGATGCTTCAGTTGCAACACAACATGGCACCTGCCTTCAAGACATCAGAACTGTGACCATCAATGTCTTCTATTTTTCAGGTCTGTCAGAACCAATTCCAGCTAGCCTCAGGCATTTTCATCTGCCATCACCTGCATTTCTGGTCCCAGAAACCATGGAAATCTACTTGGTCTACTCAATTGACTGGATGTGCTTTCTAGCATCACCCAGCCAAAATAAATGCCCTAATTATTTCCCAAATGGAAAAATTCTGAGGAATTTTCTTTAAAGGAATAATGATGCTGCTTTCATTAGCTTACTCTCCTTGCCTGAATTATTTCTCCACTCCTCTGTTGTTCCCTGTGTCTCTCCAATAACTTTAGGGGAAACCTGAATAAAACAGGTGCTCTCAGTCTAATGATGGAGATGGACAGAAAAATAAATAATTGTACAGGCTGAGCATCCTTAATCTGAAAATTTGAAACCCAAAATACTCAAAATCCAAAACTTTTTGATTGCTGACATGATGCTAAAGTGGAAAATTACATACCTAACTTCATGAGCTGGAATGCTGTCAAAATGCAGACATACTAAAAATATTATATAAAATTACTATCAGGCCATGCATATGAAGTGTATATGAAACATAAATTAGTTTGAGACATGGGTTTCATCTCTAGGATTTAAATTATGTATATGCACATATTCTGAAATAATAAAAAGAAATTGAAAACACTTAGGATCTCAATCATTTCAGTTAAGTGATGCTCAACTTATAATTTATTTTAATAATGTACTGATAGAAATACAGGAGATTGGGCTGGGGATGTGGCTCAAGCGGTAGCACGCTCGCCTGGCATGCGCGCGGCCCGGGTTCGATCCTCAGCACCACATACAGACAAAGATGTTGTATCCGCCGAAAAACTAAAAATAAATATTAAAATTCTCTCTCTCTCTCTCTCTCTCTCTCTCTTAAAAAAAGTTATTTTTTTTTTAAAAAGAAATACAGGAGATTGTGAAATCACAAAGAAAGGCCATGGCTCTTTATTGATAACTAATGGACAAGAATTATTGTAAATAGTCTCACCCCTTGGTAGTCTCCGTGCTCACTGGTATCTTCATGTTCATTCTTGTGTGTTCTTTCTTTTTGCTCCTCATATTTGAGATGGTAGGAAATGGATTGAGCTCTTTCAGCCTCTAGAAAGTCCTGGCTTGGGGTGAAATCGACATCAGTTGCACTTTGCCTGGGTCCATCATGACTGGCATCATCAGCCCCATGATTTCTGGGCATGATGTTTCTATCATCAGTAGGTTCCATGAGCAAAGCCTCAGAAACAGTCTTTTTATCCATGTCCTCGTGCTTGCCAGTAGCTTCAGGGCCCATTTTTCCTTCTTGGCTCTGCCATTCAGTATCTTGAATGTGCTTATTTATGTTTGATACATTGTCCTCTTCTGCTTCTGCATTGGAATTATCCTCTTCTTGTTCTTGGTTATTCTGCTCAAGTTCATCCTGCATTTTGCTTATTTGAGTTGGTTGATTGGACTCTTCCAAAATATCATCAGATTTCTTACTGTCTTCTTCTTGCTTACTGTTAAAATTCTCTTTAGGAAATTCTTTCTCCCATTCTTGGTTATCACTGGGGCTACCAATTTCCCCTGGCTCTTTTCCCTCTTCCTCATCTTCATTGGGAGTATTAGGATCCTGCTCTTGCTTTCTCTGATCCCTTAGGTTTTGGCTGTGTGTATCATTCTTGTTCAAATGATGATGTGGATAATTTGTGGGTTGTTCTTGGTTTTCCTCTTCCTCTGTGATGTTTTCTTGTTGGTTAGAATCCACAGAATCAGGAGGAGGAAAATCAGTGCTCTCAGGGAGTTTTTTCTCTTGAGGCCCACTTATATCTTCTCTTAGATCCAAGCTACCATCAGTTGGTGAATACTCCAAATTCACACTTAAGTCACCATCGCTATCCTCCTCATCCTTCAGTCCTAGCTCTTGGCTGTAAGCTTTATCCTGTTCTGCTGACTGTTCTTGATTTTCCTCTTCTGACTTTAATATTGAAGATTTTTCATCCTTAAAAGAAAAATTTTAATGTTTGTTTTTGAAACAAGCTATCTTATTTACAATTCCTAAGCTAACCTTTAATATTCATCCTTCTTTTTCTTCACACATATCATGTAAATGTATTAATGATGTTCTTCACATTCTATGGGCCACAGATTCAACCTGAACTTGAATTTTGTAAAGTGAAACAATTAGCGTGTTAGCCCAAGGAGTAAAACTAATTAATCTTCATATCATCTAGTGATTGGAGGAAGTTGATATGATCATCATATTAAAATAAATTAAACTGAGGACATGAATAATGTAATCTCTTTGACCATGGTTTAATACTGAGTCATCCTTTGGAGAAATAAACAATTATATTAATATAACACTGCTATTTTTACCTTATGGTTGGAAAGGTTTTCTCTGGATACTGCAGCTTCCTTTTCATTTTCTTCAGCTTCAACCTTTGCACTGGGAATTGTAGTATTGTCTTGTATTAATGATGTTTCAGTTGGTTTGGAATGATCAGATAGAAACCTTGCATTTGTCTGAAAAAATTAAGAGCTTGTTTGTGTCATTCACCTCTAGGTGCCAATTTAAAATTTTTCTGCTGCTCTTTAGTTATCATCATTATTAGTAGCAGTTTTCCTCATTCAGCGCATCAGCTAAATGGTATTTTGTAAAATATTTGAGAATACAAGCAAATGCCCAGAATAATGTTAAGTGAAAACAAAATTCCCACCTGAAAAAAAGTTATGTGTAAAGAAACTAGGCAAAAATCAATCAAATAAACAAAAACCTTCAATAATTATATAATGATTTGATAATTCAATAATGATTACCTTTGATTTTGGAAATTATTTTGTTTTCAAATTTTTACAATGCATTAGTGCTTAATAATTTTGAAAAGTATTGTTTTGTATAAAGTGGAAGTCAATAAAACTGGCCATAAGATATAGTATTGTACATTTCCTTAACATTTAAGGATTCGCTGATAATTAATAGAAAAAATTATAAAACTTTTTACTATTTATCAAGTTTTTAACACTGTTGGCCTTAATATCCATTAGGAAGTTTTTAAATAAAAAAATTAATCTAGAACTAATTCAAGGATTATGTGAAGCAGGGCACTCAGCCTAATAGAGAAAGGCAGCTATGGAACATTTTCATGACAGAGACAGCTGTGTCTGTTTCTAGAAAGACTGGGGACTAAAATGGAGAGCTAGGCAGTGAGGCATGATGGGAAGTTAAACAACTGGACTTGGATGGTGAGAAGCCTCCCTTCAAGTCTTAACTCTGCCATTTACTTCCCACCTGTGGTTTGAGGAGTTGCTAACCCTACCCTGCAATCTCAAAGTGAAGTGGGCATAAATATCAAGTAAAAGTTGTTTATATAAACTATTTTGCAAATTTTGAGGAGCTACCCAAGTTAAAATTCCTAATTATAATATCATATGGTGGTAATAATATGAACTGTTCAAATATCTGACGCAGGTATTTGCCATAGATTTTTGTTATAGAGATGCTGTGGGTACTTAGCAGCTATATCCAGATGTAAGGATAAAACTCAGACTATTTGGATTGACTCAGTTTTACTTCACGAGCAGGTCCAGTAGTGCTGTGTACTGTAAAACAATCCATGAGGTATAAATGTATTTTAGATTTGGTTTGTTCTTTTGCTTCTTGTCCTTTTTTCAACTAAGAGGATTAGTAGTCTTCAAAAAAGTTTTGAAAGAAGTCATAAAGAAAGGGGAAAAGCCGGACTCAGTGGCACATGCCTGGAATCCCAGCAGCTCAGGAGGCTGTGGCAGGAGGATCACAAGTTCAAAGCCAGCCTCAGCAATGATGAGGCGTTAAGCAACTCAGTAGGACCCTGTCTCTAAATAAAATACAAAATAGGGCTGGGGGTGTGGCTCAGTAGTTAAGTTCCCTTGAGTTCAACCCCCCCCCCCCCCCCCCTCCCAAAAAAAAAAAAAAAGAGGAGAAAGGAAGGTCTGGAAAAGTAGCTTTGTAGAGTAGTACTTGCCCAGTGTGCATAAGGCCCTAGGTTCACTCCCCAGCAATTAACAGATTAAAAAAAAAAAAAAAACAATTGTGAGAGCAAGGAGAAAGAAAGGTGGCTATTTTGACGAGTTGCCAACAAGGGCCTTCATGGAAAACAACAGATGGGGGAGATTTTAGTTTTTTCAGTGGATGGCTTTTCTCCTTCAGTGCTTACCTCTTCCTTCACATGATCATACCTTCCCCTAGCAGGAAGAAATGCATAAAAACCATGGCAGCTTATTTTCTTTCAGAAATGTCTGGTAATTAAAAGTCTATTATATTATTAGACCCATATCTATATTTAACATGCCCTCTGGAAGTGCATTTGGAATATCCCAACCACTCATAGTTCACTTCTCTGGAGAATTCGTGCAGGTGAGGAAAATGATACAAGATTTTTAATAGGTCAATACTATGAAAAAAATATTTAGCTTTTTGATATTTGCCTGGGTCTGCATAAAACAAATTACCCTGGAAAAGAAACATCTGGCATGTGTCTTTAGGCAGACATGTCATTCAAACATTTGGTTCAAAGACAGTTTTTAATGCCTATTTACAATGCCACCGTCCTTGCAAAGGCAAAACACATTTTCAGGAGAAAACAATGACTCTCTGGGATCTCCTTTCTTTATTAATTTGTCCCAGTTTTGTAATTTTAAAGTACACTATGTAATTCCAGCTGGAGTAGCTCTCTACTATTTAAGCACGATTCTTAGTGGTGGTCAGAAATTCTGTTTTCTTTGGACTGCTTGATCTGGGTGGCATGTAGCTTGTTTTTGCTGACACAGCTATTAACCTGAAGCAGCCACCAGTTATCTGAAAAGCAAGGACAGAACTTTAAACCTAGAGAGGAAGGGAAGGAAGGGACAATAGAGAAATCGCATTGTTCATTGATAAAAAAAGAAAAACATGATATAAATTAAAGATGCTATGGATCATTTGTAGAGCATCTAAAATGATCATATAAATGATTGTGTTTTTTGAACTTTTGGGTTGTTTTGAGATTGCTGACCTGGTCTGAAATGGTCTGATTTGTGTATGGCTCCTTGATTGCTTGTGAATGCTGAAGCCAGTATATCTCATCATGACTTAGAGAATGCTCTAGTCCTATCCACTTTCAGCATACTTGTTTGGACAGTGCCTCAAAATGAGATAAGAACCCATTTATGATCACCACAGTGCTTCTGTTCCCATTGGTTCCTGTTTTTATCACAAGACTGTCAGGATTTCTCATCTAGCATGTGTTCGATCTTGAAGAAAATGCTGGTGATGTGGATATATATATATGAGCTCCAAGTTAAATGCATAGATATCTCATACCAATACGATGAGATCCATTGGGAATTTTTTTTCCTGTCCTTTTAGTATTTGGCCATATTCTATGGTTAATAAAAGGACTGACAACACTTTCAGCTGTATTTATTGTGTCTTATAAAACCAGATAGACCTGAGAAAATATTTTTGAAAAGCACCTTATCTTGATTTTTAGTCATACATTTACGATTTGCATAAGAAAGAATATAATTGAAATAAAAACCAGAACTTCAAGCCACTATATTAGAATATTTCCTTTTAAATAGTAGGTTTCTGAATTAAATGTCAGGAGGGAGAGATATAATAACAGAAGAAAGGAAATTTACCGGAATTGCAACTGCAGTTCCCAAGATGTATATGAAAAACAGCAGAGTCTTCATGCTTCTGGACCTGTGAACCAAGAAGATAATTTCAGTGATGGGAAAAAGTTTCCTTAAGAAAGATTAAAAAATAATCTTAGCAAATATTGAGTTTGATATTGTCTTTTGTATTTGGAGAAGATTATTGTCTTTGTGGAATAGTATGTCTGAAAAGCCAGATAACTACAGTTTTTTACCAGTTTTGTCCCTCTGAAAATTAGTTCTTATTTTATTTTTCCTTTACAATAAAAGAAGCTTCAAACTATCAGGAGAACTGGACTCTGGCTCTGGCACTGTCCCTAACTGGCCAAGAATCTTAGATAGTTTACTTATCCTTTTTTAGACATAGCTTTCTATTGTGATGAACTGTGAAGAGGCAGCCTAGATGATTTGCTCTAATACTTTAGAACTCTAAAATTGAAAATCTATGAATTTCATGAGCTCCTAAATGCTGCTATCTTTTAGCTTTAAATTGTTAAACCTAAAATACATTCTATGATTATTGTATCAAAAATAAAATATTTTATATATCGACTTTAATTTTCACAGCAAATATGTAAGATCTACTTATATCTTTATTATTGACGATCACTTAAAATATTTTATTCTTTAGTAAATGCTAATTGTAAACAATCACTGAAAAATGAAGTTTTTTCCCTCTATTCCAAAATTTAGCATTCATCATTCATTCCATAAGTATTTATTAAATTTATGGAAGTTTAGTTACTTATAGGTCAGTATATTATTGTTCTATTTGTAAAAACTATACAAATCTGAAACAATACAGCTTAGTGTATAGTTTGGGGCTATACATTTGGGGCTGGAATATTCTTTGTTGTGGAGATCCATCCTATGCATTGTAGTATGTTTAGCAGCATTCCTGGTATCAACCCACTAGATGTCAGTGTCAGTCCGCCAGCCCTCCCTAGTTATGACAACCAAAACTGTCTACAGGCATTTCCAAATATCCTATGGGGAGTGACATTGCCATAACCAAGGAACACTGGTTTATCAGAGGGGGACTAGTGCCCTTGGTGTAGAACTGTGTTTGAACCCAGGACCAATACTTGCCATCCATGTGATATTTGGCAAGTTACTTAATACCCGAGTCTCAGATTCCCCATCTTAAAATGGGGATAATATTTTTGATGGTTAATTTTATATGTCAACTTATTATGTCATTAGATGCTCAAATATATGGTTAAACATAATTTCTGGCTATCTTTTAAGGGTTTGTTTGGAAGATTGTAGCATTTGAATTATTAGATTGAATAAATCAGATTTCCCTAACCCTTGTGAGTGGATATCTTTTAATATGTTGAGGGTCTAAATATAACAAAAAACAGAGGAAGGGAGAATTCTTTTTGCCAATCTGCTTGAGCTGGGACATTGGCCTTCTCATACTCTCAGGCCAGGACTATGCCATCAGTCTTCCAGTTCTTAAGCCTTGGACTTGGACTAGAACTGGGACCTTCAGTTCTTCTCATTCTCTGAGTGTTAGAACTAAACTGGAACTATACCATGGGCCTCTCTGGGTTTCCAGAGTACAGATATGGGAATTTCTTGGCATCATAATCATGAAAGACAAATATTCATAATAAATCTCTCTTCCTCAGTTCAATTTTTGCTGGAGAACCCTAATATAATATTTGACTCAGTTTTGTAAAGATTATTAGTGCTATTCATAACAATACCTGACATGCAGCAATTGCTCAATAAACTTTAATTCTTTCCACTCATCTTCAAGAGAAGTTGTGATTCTTAAATAAACAGCTTCAAGTCCAAGAAAATAATATAAAATTGCTGTAAGGTCAAAAAAAAATTTCCGATGGAACATTTAAGTTTCACTTTGGCCACAAATTTACCAAATTTTCCTTTAACTTCAAGATTCTTTCTTACATTCATCATAAATAACAATGAAATTAGACTAAGAGAATCTTACCACTTTTTTTTTTTTTTTTTACAAATGGGCAGTAAGAATAATCAAAAGTGTTGTGGATTAAAGGCTTATTTCTTTTTTGAGTTTGGTTTTTATAGCGATCTAAATGGCTAATTACATTTGTAAAAGGATTCCCTTTTAATTTGACCACAGGAGGATAGGAGTTTCCTCCACATTCCTAAATCTAAATGTAGCTGAATGTGTCAAAAAGAAATATGTCTAGTTGGCCAGAACTTGCATCACTTATTCACTCTTCCATTCATTTTTTGACCGCTTCCTAGATGCTATCAAAGTACAAGGATATAGTTTCTGCCTTAAGAGTTACAAAGGCTAATAATACCTGATTCATTCTACTATCCTTCCTACTCCCATATCCCCTCCCCTCCCTTCACTCCCCTCTACCTAATCTAAAGTATACCACATTTTTTTTTTATCCATTCATCTGTTGAAGGACACCTAGGTTGGTTCTATAGTTTAGCTATTTTGAGTTGAGCTGCTATTAACATTGATGTGGCTGCATCACTTGTAATATGCTGATTTAAAGTCCTTTGGGTATAAATTGAGGTGTGGGATAACTGGGATAGATGGTGGTTTCATTCCAAGTTGTCTGAGGAATTTCCACACTACTTTCCATAACAGTTACACTAATTTGCATTCCCACCAGCAATATATGTGTGTACCTTTCCCCCCATATTTATTGTTGTTTGTATTTTTGATAATTGCCATTCTGACTGGGGTGAGATGAAATCTTAGAGTAGTTCTGATTTTCATTTCTCTAGTTGCTAAAGATGTTGAATGTGTACACATATAGCTATATAACTGGTGGGATTCTACATCATGTACAACCAGAGGAATGAGAAATTATACTCCATCTATGTATGATGTATCAAAGTGCATTTTACTGTCATGTATAACTAATTAGAACAAATAAAAAGAAATTTTAAGAAAAAGAGTTACAAAGGAGGGCTGGGCATAATCCCGGTGGCTCAGGAAGCTGAAGCAGTAGTTTCCTTAGTTCAAAGCCAGCCTCATTAACTTAGTAAGGCCCTAAGCAACTCAGCAAGACCCTGTCTCTAAATAAAATATAAAAAAGTTCTGGGGATGTGGCTCAGTGGTTAATTGCCTCTAGATTCAATACGCAGTAATCCCCCAGCCTCCCAGCATTAAAAAGTTACAAAGGAGGAAGTCAAATAAATCAATGGGTTTATTATAATGTGATGGTTATATATATAGTGCAAATGACAGAGATTAACATTTAAAATTAGGTAATTAACAATAGCTAACATTTCTAAGTCTTAAGTACTTAGGCACTATTTTTACAATTACCCACATACTAACAATCTTCCCTACATTTCTATGAGGTGGGCAATCTGGTATAATCATTTCATTGGTAAGGAAACTAAGGCATAGAGGTTAAGTGACTTTTCCATGATCCACAGCTAAGAAGTGACAGAGTAAATATTTGAGAATTGGCTGTTTGATTTCAGGTCTGTGTTCTTAATTATTGTGCTATATTGCCCCTGTATACGAAAGACTTCTAGAGAAGGTAATTCTTGAACTGGAATTTGAAAACTAATAAATAGTTGTGTCATAGTCTGTTTTAAATTACAATAGAATACCTGAAACCAGATAATTTATAAAGAATACAGATTTATTTGGCTTATGGATGTAGGAACTGAGAAGTCCAAGGGCATAGTACCAGACTGTTGGGGGCGTGAATGAATTTTGAGCTATCTCAAGTTGCATTTCCATGAACTCTTGGTGAAATTCCACCAATCTGACTGCTCAGATCATGCGGACACCCTGCACATTGGCTCAGACAACCCTAGGTTCAAACGCAGCAGCCCGGAGTAGAGGAGATGGGGGTAACCTGCTCAGCCTCAGCCAAGTTGCCTTTGCCATCTTCTTCCTGTTTTCCTCAGGAGTTCTGCACACTGAATCTCAGTGGTGTTCCTATCCACTTAAATAAAGTGCGTGGGCTCCATTTTTGTCGTTAGATCCAGTCTCCATCAGAGCTGGTCCCCATTGGATCCTGCAGTTTCTCGTATTAGCATGTCTTTGTTTCTTAAATTTCTTATACCTTTAATATTTCTAATCTGACTCACTGCCCTCTTTTGGGGAAACTGAGTAAATATCACAATGGTCCTGACACCAGACTCTGCTCAGCATCTGATGAGAGTTTTCTTGCCGTATCAAAAAAGAAGGAGGATATCATATGGCAATTCAGGGCAAGAATGCCAGAGAGAGCTCACTTTTATAACGAAGTCACTCCTTCAATAACCCGTTAATCCATTAATGGTCTCATTCATTCATTAGAGCAGAATCTTCAGGACCCAATAATCTCCCAAAGGCCCCAATTCCAAATACCATAACATATGTGTTTGAAGACAAAGTTTCCAACATGTGAAATTTGGGGACACCAAATTTCAAAGTAGTCAGCTCTATGAAGGATGGGAAGGTCAAGGTGGAAGCAGCATGTGTGAAGATTCTGAGGCAAAAATCCTAAAAATTTGGGGGGAAGTAGAGGAAGATAAAGCTAAAAATCAAGGCAGGTATCCAGCTTGTGAAAGCCCTTGTGTATTAGATAAGGAATTTAAAATTCCAACTGAAAAACTATGGGAACCCAATGAATGGCTGTAAATGTGGAGGTGATCTGCATTCGTTCGAGAAAGGGCTTTTGGGACAGCTGTATGGAGGAGAGACCAGTAGAAATGCCTTCAGGAGCCAATTGCAATATCAAAGTGAGATGTGTTCAGAGCTTTGAATTTTTGCTGTAGTTTTGGAAATGGTGAATGAGAGGGATAGGTCCAATCTGTACTGCTTCATGAGAGTCAAATTTCAGGAATTTTGTAAGCCAGGAATTTGTCAATGCCAGCAATAAAAATTAAATTATATACACTTATAAATTAATTATATTAAAACCATGGAAATAATAACTCAAAGCAAATCATTTTATAATTATTTTACTACATTTTCTATTATCTACTATCAAGGTATTTATACCTTTATTTGTAGGTGCAAATACTACATAATGTGTGCCACTACTACATGTCCTTCCCAGTTCTGTTCAAGGATATCATAT